CGCAATGGTCCGTGGACCACTGGTTGCGAACTACTGAGATATACAGTTCAAACCAATACAAATACAGATTTTAAGTCTTCAGAGATGTAGCGCTTAAATTTCTAAAAATATGGATTTCAAGTTACCAGTTTAAATCTAGAGAGGAATTAATTTTAAATTCATAACTCTAAGAAAACTGTGAGATTAAAAGTGCTGTCTTTTTAAAAGATTTGTATTTTTGTAAAAACTAAAAATTGGGGTCTAAGATTATACTAGGGTTCAGAGAAATATTCATATATGAGTGCGTATATTTAATACAGTTTTCACTGTGTTCTGCCTTATATACGAACAAACTATAGCCACTTGTCACAGTAGCTGATGATTTTGATCAGTATTACGGAATTGCATTTGTTCAACTTTATTTTAGATATTTATACCTACTATAGTCTATTACGGGAACTTGAACGTTTGTTGGGTATTATTTAAGCTATCTGTTTGCATCAACATTTTTTACTATATTCAGATAATACATGTGATTTACGAAAATTTATATAACAAATATGACTTCCCATAAAGACCTATGCTCTTTGAAGTGCATTTTGGACAAAAAACTTATTCGCATTATCTAAAAGTGTCAAGTATAATTGGAATAGAAGTTTTTGAAATAGAATTATTGGAACTAATAATTCCCCTATTAATACCGGTCAATGTGTGAACTTTAGAATTTTCCCGTATAAGTGTAATTGGATAATTGTATTGAACCAATTACAAAATCACAGTTTTTGGTACAAAGATAATCTCAGTCGTTAATGTCCATTTCCATTGCCATTTCAACTTTTGCTATAATATTTGATATAAAACATGCACGTAAGTGAGTGAGTTATTGACAATTTTGAAAAGTATTTACCATTTTGTACGAAAATGTATTGGGAGCACAGAAATTGAAGGCAACAACTGTGAGGAATTGAAGAGGAAATTCACAATAAACGCTCGATTTCGCATTTAAATGAAATAATGTGAATGAAAAAATTTGTGAAATAATCTGAATGAGCGCAACATCATCAGTTTATACCAGTGTGAGTTGAGTTTTTTCAGTGCTGTTTGATCGTTAATAACCTCAGTACATTGACTTTGAAATTTTTTTAATGTGTGACTGTTTATATAAATTATTATATAATTAAATAAACTCTTAATGTTAGTACAGAGATTATTCGAAAATTGCTTATTTTATCTTCGACATTCCACACTTAAGGATGGACAGACGTGCTGAAAGTTACTCCTAACAATTTTTTCATAAATTTTAAGGCGAAAATTGAACACAAAAATATTTATGAATTCAACACACTTTCCACTAAAAATATTTGCAATTTAACAACAATTTTAAAACAAATGCAAAGGCAAAGAATTTATAAACTTTTTAACTGAAAGAATTTTTTGATTAGAATTTAAAGAATTCCACAAAGTAATAATTTACAAAAATCATTGCATACTTTTCGTCTAAATTGAACTGATTTGGTTGAACTTTGCTAGTTCGCTTCTCTCTACCATTTTCGGTTCAACTTAATTCCATTCACATAAGGCGGACTTCGCATTTCCATTGAAATGCGATTTGCCGCCGGCAGTTGAAGAAATTCGCCGAATTACGAATGTTGAAAGCGTTTAACAATTTTGTTTGAAACTTTACTAGGTGCCCAGAAACGCAAGCAGCGTTGGACTGACTGTTGGAGAGGAACACATACATTCCAATTCATTCCATTCGTTGACGATGCGTAGGATTGTATTTGCAGTGCTGGTGTGGGTTAGTGACGCTAAATGCAAGCACTTGTTGTCAAAACAGTTTAACACTCTTCTTCCACTCTTTTTCCTCCATAATAGAACAGAACCACTACAGTGGCGGTGTGGGTGCGGGTGCGAGCGCGGGTGATGCGGGTGACTAAGCGTAAATAATGCTTAAAAAAGCATATTTTACAAAATGTTGTAGTCTTTATTTGTGATTTATTGGGTGATAACATAAAGTCAATATGACATAAACCCAATATATTAAAAATTTCTGAAATTATATTACAATAAATAATATAGATAAAATATAGTTTAAATTAAATCTGTATAATCTTAGGTACACACATTCAAACTAATAAAGATAAAAATAATGAAAAAATAGGTAAATAATAAAAAGAAATATAATTTGGTACCAATCTTATCCATTGGTAAGTCAAAAATATAGTAATAATTTAACCACCACTGCAGATTTTAAAAAATATCAATCAAAACGTCGGATAACAAAATGACAATATAATATAAAACAATAATAATATAATTAATATATATATTTTTATTTTATTTATTTTATAATATAAATAAAAAAAATTTTTAAGACAAGTTTGAATAATCCATTATAGCCAACGATATAATGATTAGATCATTTATTATTTCCAATTTTCAGGAGAGAGACCTTTGATCCACTGCAAGTGGTTGCAATCTTTTATATTCATTGCTAAGTGGTAGTTTTAGTGGGTTCAAGTCTCACACTATGGCTTTCGATGCTTTCCGCCTACTGCAAAAAAAAAAAAAATAAAAAGTTATTTCGAATTTTTGTTCAAAAATACTCAAAAAAAAAATAGTATTCAAAAATGGACCACTGGACAAACATCCTCCTCCAGTAACGAAACCCAGTAACTGGTTCTTATGGCAAAATAAGTAAGTAATAGGGTAATAGGCCACTCCGAAGTACTGCAAGAAACAGTAAGGCTATTGCTAAAGTGTTTAATGTGTACGGAATATAATAACTCCATGTTATTATACTGTATGTTATGCAGACAGTCATGGCCATGACAAATGAGAAATTCGTGTAATTTTCAATATAAGTTAAAGATTTGGGAATAAGAGCAAGAGAGAAAATTTGATTCAATTTTGTTCACGGTGGAAATGCTTTCTCTACTCTGGCCAGAATAGTGTCGCTTACTAATATATTCGATATTTCCGATTTTTAGAAGTATATATGTGTATTTTTAAATAAAATTAATATATTTATATAACATAAAATTAAAAAAAGTGATTATAGCTGCTTAAAGTTAATAATTGTGATTTGAGTCGCTATATGAAGTACCTTAATGGTTCTGCCCATTAATATAACCGTCTGCATAACATTGCTCTAGGAGAAAAAGTTTAATTTCTAGTTTTTATAAAATTTTAACTTTAAAATTTTAATATTCCTAGATTTATATGTCATAATCGATTACAAATTTATTATTATGCAGTTTTTCAAAATAATTATTAAATAATAATTGTGCACCAAAAACTGTATTATATACATATCTATTTTTATATATACAATATATCTTGTAACTGTAACAAAATGGGCTCTATATATAGACTAACAATGCTTTCACTCAGAAATAAGTCAGGTAAGGCATACTGGCAAAAATTTGTATAATTGGTATAAGGAAAACAAATCTATATTGTATATATGTTATTTATATTATATATTATATATATATTGATTCTATATAATGTAGATTTTTATTAAATAATTTCTTTAAAATCGGCTAGATTTTTTTTGCAAAATTTGAAATATTTCATATTTCACTTATAATATATTTAATTATATTAAGATTAAAATATATTACGTATTATAGAGTCTATTTCAACAACGTTGTATAAATATGGAAGGCGACTTTTTGATCAGGAATTGAAATCCTCTGGAGTGGGAGGCTGCGTTGGTCTTTTATATTATTTTCATAGGACGAAGGACCTAGTAGTTCAATTCCTTATTCCTACTTAATTTTAAAATTAATTTTAATGTTAACTCATAAATCAATAAATATTATTTGCAATAAAAGCCGGGTTACATGGTGTCAAATAAACTCTATTTAAAAACAGAGTTCAAATGCAGTTCATATTGAGCACTAAAAATTTAATATATTGAGCTCAATATATATATGTATAAAATAGCATATACAGTTATATATAGTATATATATATAGTGTATATATATGTAACAAAAAAAAACAGATAGGGGCATTCTAGTAATCTCTGTGTGAGTTGCGATTGCGATGTGAGTCGTTTTGGGCCCTAAGATAAGTGTAATGCAGTTGATAAGATACGTTCAATGCTCAATAAAAAAATATAAAACTTACTTGCTACTGTGGTAAAAATATTAAAATCAAATTAAATTTTTTCTAAAAATTTTTTCATAAAAAAAATAAATATTTCATTAATTATTTTGTTTTGTTTTAGTAATAAAATTTTTCATGGTTTTAATTATTAAGTCGGAAATTGGTGAAACCGATCACCTGCTCAACACGAACTTAGTCTCCAAAAGGTTTGAAACAATTTTTATCAAGTATTAACTGAGTATTTACCACCTAGTATTCATTGAATAATGTGTGGTACTACAGACCAGTATAATTTATATCTACATTTATCACTTATCCTCCATTAAATTAAACAAAAATGACTGAGTACTTATCACTTAGTATACATTAAATCTATATTTCAATCTATATCTGAATCTACATTTATCACTTATTTTTCATTAAATTTAACATATATGATTGAGTATTCACCACTTAGTATTCATTGAATAATGTCTGGCACTTACTACCACCCTGTATATTATACTACTCTTATATTATACATATACTACACCTAATAATATGATCTATACTTATACTATAAACACTATAAATACTATAAAAACTTTTTTAAATACCATATCTCTTAGTAAAATTTATTATAAATAATATATTATATTAATATTTATAATTACTAAATTTCATCAGGACATTTCAATATAGATTTTGTATGAGTTTTGTATGAAAAGCGTGATTTATTACTGCACATTCGACAAGTTAATTACAATAGTGTAAACACATTGTTAAAGCTTTTAAATACATTTTAAAATTTAACAGAACATTTTATAAATAAGTTCCACTGTTTAGTAGAACCTCCAAGTAAACTATATGCACATATTTTGCACTACTGACTAAGTCATTGCGACTTACGGCGCACATGGATAAGCACAAATATTTTCATAAATTTATCTGTGGAGATATAGACTTGCACGCCTTTAGTTTATAAACAATTAATTTTGCTTCTCCATATTCAGTTGTGTGTTGATCGTTACTGTGGAACGAGTTCGACAAGTGTAGAATTAGAGTAGCGGTGAGTTTTGGTTAATTATATAGAGTTAACGTGCGGGAGAGTAGTTTAAGTGAAGTTAGGGGAACTGCTTTATTGATAAATAAATTTGATATTAAAGAAAAAGCGGTCGGTGGTTCATTAAAAAAATGAAACAAAATTTCTAAATGAAGTTCAAGGTGAAACTAAAAAAATAAGTTCTACAAGACCCAGTTGGAAATTGTTGCAGTGATGTAATTAGTTTTTAATTAGTTATTATTACATATGTATGTATGAGTCTGTTGAGTGCTTTAATGATGGAATAATAATCAGATTCTATTTAATTTTATTTAATTATGATTTATTATTGGATTTCTGTTTTATGTTATTATAAACATTTTTAGATATTTCTCTTTAAATTTCATTAGATCAAAATGAATTTTTTTCCAAACTTATAATACAAAAATTTCCGGAAACGTTAAATTTATATAAGATAATAATCAACGACCGTCACAAATTTATTTCAAAAATAATATATTTAATTAAATTCAAATTTAATTATATTACGTATACAGCGTGTTTTTCAACAACGTTATACAATTATGGAAGATCATTTCTTGATTTAGGAAATTATTAAGAACACTCATATGGAAGAGGGAGCCTGTATTGGTTTTTTGTTACAGTTTTAGTATTAATCACAATATAGGATTTTTATCTGAATAGAAAGTTTTATTAAAAACTGATTAATATTTTAAAAGTGATTGACTAGAATCAATTGTATTATTTAACAGTAATGTACTATAATTAAAATTTTTTGTAATTAAATACATTTTACGAAAAATAGCAATTTTTGTTTTAAACTGGGCATTACAAATAATCAGTTTTGTGAAAAAATGTATTATCTATCATGCACTGTTATTAATTTCTTAATTATTAACCACCAGTTAAGGAGCCTGAAATTTATTTCATAGGCTTTCAAATAATGTCAAACATCTAAAAATCATTTTTATTTCATACATATATTACATACAACAATAGTCTTTTGATTCATTTCGGGAATGTCTATGCTGCTGGTTATGTGTATTTTTATAGCAATCTATTATTAAAATAAAGGTTTTAAACTCTTACATCAATTTAGCAATTCTAACCTAAAGACCGACAATAACAAGTAGAACCGCTATCTACTTATTATTACTCGTAGTTTCGGTAATCACTGTGAAAATGACTGGAAAATGCTGGCGTTAAACGACATATATAGTTTTTGTCAGTGTAAACAATAGAAATAGTTTTTTATTTTAAACCTCGATATCTTGTAATGATAGGTAAATAAGTATATAGCGTAGTGAAAAAGTTATTCAAAATTACTTATGTGGTCAAATCAAGGTGCCCGGGTGTACGAAGGGATATTTTACAAGAGTAGACTTTTATTTCATACCTTTCTCATCCTATATTGAAAATAAAGTATAATTTTTTCTGTTTCTCTTACAAAACACATTAGCTCTCACTTTCATTTTACGTAGTGAAGAAACACCCTGTACATGTTTGAATAATATAGACAAAATAACATTAAAAAAATAAATGTAAATTACTTAATATTGATTCTGATTATCTATGTAATTTGTAGGTTGAGTACAAAGCATTAATCACTCTGTGTGCACCTAATATAATTCTCTTTCTTATCTTTTTCCGTATAATCTATAACGCTAAATTGGTTTATTCTTTCAACCGGCTATGAAATTGGAATTTTCAAGTCACCAATATCTATAATACACATATTAACTAAATCTAATCTTTAAATATAAATAATATATTAAAAATATTTAAAAAAAAAACTCATCGTCAGTTAACTCTTGATTTTTTAAAAGGGGTGTTCGACTATTGGAGGTTAAGTAGTTCTAAAAAATGTTAAAAAAAGCTTATTCAAGAAATATTGTCCATCTAAGATATTTGTTATTCAAAAGAGTTTTCACTGTAATATACTTTTTATTAAATAATTAAAATTCTTAAAAGTCTATAGTGTAAATTACCGTACATTTTATTTTTCAAATCATAAACACAATCTTATTAATCTATTTTTTTTTATTGACAATATATTATTTCTACAAATCTGAGACATAATATAAATATATCGTTTTAATACAACTAATAATATTATTCTGAAAAGAATTTTTATTTTAGTTAATCAATCATTTAAAGACCAGCATTTCTACAGCTGCAATCTTTAATTACCTTGTGAGGTCGGGTTCAGTTTGCATTTTAGTCTACGAGATAATTTACTTGCCTTCACCAATTGTGGAAGTCCTTCATCTGTAGAGATAGTTACAACCTGTAGTAGATTGCTTTGATTGTTTTTTGACCTAATTTTGACTAGAACACTTAATGCTTTATATATAGTTTTCTAGGATTTTTTCTTTAAAAAAGAGTTGCAGGTAGTTCTTAAACAGGTTTAAGGTCAATATCTTTGTGAATTTCAAGCGCGGTTTTGAGAGAATGCTTTTGAATACAAATTTTGTAAAAGAAAAATACAGTTGTGAGAGGAAACTTTTTTAAGGAAGAAGAAAGGAAATTTTATGCACACTTTATAGACTTCTGGAAGACCATTTCAAAAAAGCGCTGGTTAATTGTTTTTAGAGCGTTCAGAACACAATAAATTTCCAACAAGGCTTCCAATACTCAACGAAATGTCTAAAGGGTCATAGGGTTTATCATAGATTTTAGTGCTATTTATTAAATATATATGTGAAATATATATATATATATATAGAAATTATAAGAAATATATATATAATATAAAAAAAAATAAAAAAAAAATTAGAGGAAACCAGAAGATATTTTTAGTTGATCCCAACGCATTTGATTGACCACAACGCAATCGCAATATTAAGTTTAATATTTTAAACATTATTTCTTATTTAAATTAATAAAATATAAATTTATTTTCATTAAAAAAGAGGTTTTAAAGGTTTTAAAAATGCTTATTAAATTCTTATTTTTAACTGTTTTTGTGTTTACCGCCCTGAATATATCATCAGCTTTACGACCACGCAAAACAACTAAAATGCCAAACACTGAAGAGAGGCTTAAAATATTGGTCACACACCCTGAGGTGCCGAAAGATGTATTGGATCTGATGAGTCGTGGTTGTGACCTGATAATTTGTCATAGTTTACCACCAAGCCGTGCAGAGATTTTAGAAAAGTCGAAAGGTGTAGATGGCATGTTTTGGGCTTCACACGAAGCCTTGAACGCTGAAGTATTAGATGCAGCTGGTCCACAATTGAAAGCTATATCTACTATGTCTGCTGGCATTGATTTCGTAGATGTGCCGGAATTAAAAAAGCGCAAAATACCATTGGGCCATACACCAACCGTTTTGAATAGTGCAGTTGCAGATTTGGCTATCGGTTTAATGATCGCCGCCGCACGTCGTTTCCACGAAGGACGTCTTAAAATCGAAAAGTAATTTCTCATATATACAATATACCATATTGATTATTTTATATTATTTATTATTTTTTAATCTATTTAAATCAGTTCAACTTGGGAAAATTTTCATATTAATTGGATGTGGGGCCAGGATATACGCGATGCTACTGTTGGCTTTTATGGTTTCGGTGGTATTGGCCAAGAAATTGCCAAACGTTTAGCCGGCTTTGATATTGATCGTATTATCTATTCAACAAGACGACGTGTGGCTACCGATATTGAAAAGGAATTCTCCGCATCAAAGGTTACATTCGACGAATTATTGACCAAAAGTGATATTTTGTTTGTTGCTGCACCTTTAACTGAAGAAACAGCTGGCATTTTCAATGCAGCTGCATTTGAAAAAATGAAGAAGAAGGCCATATTTGTCAATGTGGCCAGAGGAGGTTAGTTTGATTTATTACAATATATTTTTAATCATTTTGTATTTCATTTACATTTGATTTTAAAGGCATTGTCAATCAAGAAGATCTTTATGATGCATTGAAAACAAATAAGATCTTTGCTGCTGGCTTAGACGTTGTGACACCAGAACCTTTATCTAAAAATGATCCATTAATGTGCCTTCCAAATCTTGGTAAGTAATTTTTTTAAATAACTTTAAGTAACAAGTATAGTAGAAAACTTTTTCGAAATCTTCTAATATTATTAGTTTTGAAATATAATATTATTTTTATATTATTATTATATATATATTGTTATTATATATATATTATTATTATACATATATTATTATTATATATATATATTATTATACCCATTTTATTTTATCTATATATATTATTATTATATATATAGTATTAACAATGATATCTATTTTGAATTTTAAACCATTTTCTACACCGTGTTGTTGTTAGTGACGTACTGCTGTATCCAAAATGGAGAGGATTGACAGAAAGATTTTCTTGATAATATAATATACAGATAATACCAAATTTTGTCAAAAAATGTATATATTTTAGTATATCTGCCCCTTTGGTGTGGTCCGGGTAATGCCAGTGGTTATGGTTATAATCCAAGTTTGAATGGAGGGATGAACTGCGTTTCGTTATCTGTATATATAAGTGAATACGGGACGTAAAACCATTTGCTATTAAGACCTGGAACGGAACATATCAACGCCATATGCAGTGCACTGAACTCCATCATATGAAAAGTTAGCGAGGGTACTTCACTGCTGTTATATTAATTCAGTTCTCTGTTAATTTTTCCAACAATATGTCACTTCAGGAAGTTTAAGACTTGTGATAAATTAATAGCCATAAATTAATACCCACAATATTTCCAGCATAGATATTAGCCAATTATTCTTGTTCAACTTTAGACCCTTTTCCTAATAAACACCAGAGAATTACCCGAATAAACACCAGACCCTCTTCCCAATATTACCACAAAAAACTAAATTAAATGGCTTTATAAGTAATTGTAAAGGTTTGATATCTACCATTATCTACCTTTTAGAAATTTAACTTTATCTATCTCCAGTTACATAGGTATGTATATCTATATATGTAGATTCATCGATTTAATATTTCCCATATTTCCCATATAAAAATTTTGGAAAAATTAAAACAGTGTTATTATTGTGATAAAATGTTGACTAAAGATTGCACGATTGGGCGGGATAGAAATATAATATAGAGATGAGAAGGAGTAAGAATGAAGTCAAATATATTTTATATGCAACATTGATTAGTTAGAGAAAAAGTTTTTGATGTACTTGAAGGATATTATTGACTCTAATTCCTCTACAATATAAGTTAGTTATACTATATTTATATAATTTTTATATGTCTTTAGAAAGACATATAAATGTCTTTAGAATTTTCTTAATATATGTTATACATTTTATATTTTAGCACTGCTATATTTCTAGTATTAATAGTAATTCTATGTCTAGCTGTTGATATAGCCTCACCTTATCAAAAATAATTAAGCTATAAATATATAATCAGACTTCCAAATTGCTGTTGTTTAAAATTAATTATTTTTGCTTTAAATATACACACAAGTGTACTAACTAAAAGATAGTACGAGAATTTATTTTAATAGATTAGAAATATCGGTGACATGTTTTAGTGATTTGAAAATAATTGAAAGCAGACTGCTTGGGTGTGAGTTCTGTGTAGGGGGTGCTCTTAGGTTTTAAAAAATAATATTTTAGAAGGTATCGATTTTTGTTTTAGGCAGTACTTAAATTTTTACCAGACTGATAAGTGAGTTCTGCAGAAATTTTATAATATCCAATTGTAAAACTAACTTATTTTATGTTAAAAATAATATAGCATGAATTTTTAATTAAATTTTTATGTCCATGGCAAAAAAATTTACTACCTAACTAATTATTAATTAAACAGTACTGCCTAACTAATTATTCTATTATTTTTCATTAAATATTATAAAGTTTTTTAAGCAAACTTCACTTTTTACTTTTAGAAGGGATGATGTTTTGATATTATATTATATTAAATATACATTTATCAAATGGATTTTTATTATACATGTATCTGATCCCAATATTTTAACACGCCTGTAACTTTACCCAGCATATAGGTTAGATATAATGAATAGATTTAATATTGTATAATCTATAAAAAGTTAAGAAGGACAGGGACACAAAGACAAAATATATTGTAAAACCGGTTTCTGCTATTTTATACTTTTCACACAAAATAGCTTAAAAAAGGTACACTGCAAGGCTTACTGCAGTTCTTTCTAGTTATTAGTGTATAGAAACCCACTCAGAGAAACTGAGAAATGTCATAATCCTTACCGCAGAAGTTGTGGAAAAAGAAACCATAACATTTGTTCTGTGAATGCCCTGCTTTGACGTCCAAAAGATATATGTTTTTAGGAAGATATTTCTTTGACAACTTATCAGACTGTTTATCGGTGAAGACGAGAGACCTATTAAATTATCTAAATTCGACGGGATGGATTTAGTCTCTACTCTTCTATATTAGACACGTTGTAAAGCGCATAAAACGCTTAAGATCAAGAATATGTATATTATTGACCAGCTCGATAAATTGAGTTCATCACAGACGGGTACTGTCTCTTTCAGTTGAAACTAGTTTTTTAGTTGGGCTATTTGAATGAAATTTCATGGAATTAGTATTGCTTTGGATTGTCTTTACTTTGTTATAGGGGTCTTTATTGACTTTCAAAGTAGACTATATTTTATAACATTAATTATTATATCTCAACTACTAATGAAACTTAAATATTTATAAATACAATTAGTGTTAATAAGCTTCTTCAGTACTTATTATGTTATATACATATGGGTATCTATATATAAGCGTATATGTATATCATATAAATATGTACAAATTATATATCTATATATGTATATTGTTTTGATACATTTGTATTTTGTTTTATTTACAGTGATAGTTCCACATTTGGGATCTGCCACAGAACGTACAAGAACCGATATGGCTACCATTGCTGCACATAATGTTCTGCGCGGTATGGCTGGAGAGCCGATGTTTGCACCTGCTTACTGATAAATCTATTCTGAGTTTCGAAAAATTGAAGTTATTCGTTATTTTGAAAATATAAAAAATTAAATTAATGAGTTCATGTTTGTATACAAATAATTGTAAAAGCTTAAAAAAAAATTTGATTTTAAAAAATATATGAAAATAAAAACCTGTTTACATAAGCTTTGCTAAAACTTGTTGAAAACCATGGCTGTAGTCAGTAAGTGGAGCTGTGAGGCCCACAGAGAATATTTTTTGCGATTGTTAGATTAATTATAAATTATATATTTATATAACATTGACTATTAGGCGCAAATATTCACTCATTCGAAATCTATTCATTTGTTTGCTATTCAAAATTTAGTGCATGCATATAGCACAAGCAATTATTTATGCGAGACATATTAAGCTAAAAGATAGCAAAAAGAAGAGAAATATTTCACTAAAGTTGTTAATTATGTGGTGTTTATATATTTTCGAATTTATAAATGAAGAAGAACAGTGGAGAACATTGTACACCGTAACTCTATTTAGTTTCCAAGTACTATTATTGTTAAATGGGAAATCTTATACACCACGGTTTAGGTGGTCTATTGTGCTCATCAGTTGTTTTAACTTTTTTAGCTTTTAGTTTATGTGAGTACCTTTGGGGGTTTCTTTTTGTTCTATATATTTTAAGAACAACGAGTCTTTACCCAAAAAGAATTAGTAATAGAGAGTAAACAATAAAATAAAAAATAATTTAATCATACTGTTATTTGAATTCTTTGAAATTAATATTCATAATTATATCAATGTTAATTATGATTAATTATTAATATGATTAATAGAAGAAAAAACATTTAATTTTCGCAAAAAAGTTTGATTTAAACCTCCAATCACTTCCATAATACCAGATAGATTATTCTTGTATTTATTAGAAAGTTGTTTCTAATATAAGAGGTTAAACTCAAGGTGGTAAGTTTTTGTCAAGTTATTGCAATAATCAAATTTATTCATGATAATATTTCTGATACTCTAAGAAATCAAAAATAAAGAGGGGTCCAATAGTCATGTCGGATATTCACAAAGAATGTGTTTAGAAGTTTCAAATTAATTTTACAAAAATAGTAAATACTGGTCTATGAAAGTTACAATTTTTTCAGATGGTACCTCAACGCACAGTGCTTGCTTAGAAATCTGGTGAAAAGTTGGTATCCTCTCTGACCAATCCAAGAAATCTATTTGAGACTACTTTATTTCTCAATAAATAAAAAAGAACAAAAAATACGTTGTCTGCGGTGTACACTAAAATTTTTATATATATTTATTTATATTTATATTTTTTTTTTGTAAATTAAAACACAACACGTATTAAGTCCGCTACTGTACACGTGTGACAGCAAGAACTGAGAATAATAAACGAAAAGCTTTCATGTAAAAAAATATTTATTATTAGTTTTTTATTGTGACGTTCGAGGAAAAGCGAGTGTTAGTTTCTTTATAAGACTTTTTGGAAATGCACGCCGCACGCCGAGTGTTCAAAGTGCTTATCTCACATCCAGAGGTTCCTGTGCCAGCTTTAGAGTTACTGCGTCAGCATGGCTGTGAAACTATTATATGCCAGAGTGTACCGCCTTCCCGCACTGAAATACTCCAAAAACTGCCGGGAGTCGATGCTATTCTCTGGGCTCATTATCAACCATTGAATGCTCAAATTTTGGACGCTGCCGGTTCACAACTGAAAGCTGTCTCCACTATGTCATCGGGCATCGATTATGTCGATTTGGATGAATTTAAACGTCGTCAAATGCCATTGGGACACACGCCTGGCATAGTCAAAAACGCGGTAGCGGATTTGGCGATAGGTTTAATGATATCTGCTGGCCGCTTGTTTCACGCGGGCAGACGGGAAATTGATAAGTAAGTAAACAATTTTTGCTTGTTTCTTGATAATTCATTGACTTTCAAATAGTATTTACCCGTGGGAAGCTTTTACATTAAAAGCTCTCCAGTGCATTGAAAACGAAATTTTAGGTCAAAAAATAAATAATTAAAAAAATAAAACAAAAACAAGAAGAATTATAAGAAAAAAGATTTGTATATATATTACAATTTATATATATTATTAATAATTAATAATATATATGAAGAAGAAAGCAATTTTGTGAAACATAAAATATAAATTTTTAAAATAAAATTATATGAAAAAGCAAATTTTTAAACTAAATATATAAAAATCAAATTTTTAAAATCAAAAATAAATAATTTTTCAAATTTGGCAGGGCTTGAGTTTAACCCTTGGTATTTGCAGTCTGAAAAAAATTATTTACGATAAATTAAATATAAGAAATAATTCTAATACCACTGATATTGGGTATTTGACAATACTCGAAACAGCTGCTATGGTCAGCCAAAAATTCAATTAATAAAAATAACAAAAAATTTTGTTGTTGCCATTCACTACTAGTAAAAATAATAATTTATACTAAGGATTTATTTTTTATGTTAAAACGGACATTAAAAATAAATTTAATAACTTTTAAAATTATAAAAAACAAAAAAAAAAAAACTAATTCTTTAAAATAAAAATATACAAAAAACCATTTCTTCAAAATAAAGTATATAAAAATCAATAATTTAAAATAAAAAAAAATGCAAAAAAGCGAATAAAAATACAAAACAAATCAGTGTTTTAAAATAAAAAAACATAAAAAGTGACTTCTCAAATAAAAAATATATAAAATGTAATTTTAAAAATGAAAATATAATTAAAAGAAATTTTTAGAAAATAAAAATATATGATAAAACAATTATTTTAAATAGAAACATAAATTAAAAATATAATGTAGACTAATTTTGAAATAAAACAATTTATTTTTAATTACACTATATACTTAAAAAAGCAATATTTTAAAATTAAAATAAATAAAACAGCAATTTTTTAAATCTGAAATAAATATATAAAACAATTTTAAAATAAAGAAATTTATTTTTAAAATAAAATATATAAAAAATAAAGTTTTCTAAAAAAAATTGGTAAAAAGACTTTTTTGAATAAAATTTATCGAATAATCTTTTAAATATAAATATAGAAAAAATCCAATTTTTAAAAACAAAAAATATAAAAATACAATTTTTTAAAAGAAAAAAATAAAAAAACTTTTTTTAACGACTTATAAAAATATCAATTTTTTAAAATTAAAAAATTAAATTTTTTGAAATTAAAAAAATTAAATTTTTTAAAACTCAAATATATATAAAAAAAAATATTAATGTAAAATTAAAATGAAAAAAATTTTATTGTAAGAACATGTTAAAGCAGTTATTTTAAATAAAAAAGTATTAAAAACTAATTTTTTAAGTTTTTAAAAACATAAAAACTGTTTTTAGAATGTTTATATTAGTGTCGACTTCAATACTTATGTGTTTAAATTTTGCCAGGGTTTAGGTAGTCTTTTAAAAGTTATATTTCATATAATAATTTGTAGTATATAAAAACTAACATGAGATTAAATAAAAATTATCACAGTTGTTAACTTATTTATATATTTATTTAACAGATATTTTGTTAATAAAGATAAATGGTCTCATATTGAAAGAATCACAAAAATGAGAAAAAGAGACTTCCATGGAAATACTAAAGTTCCTGCTTAAAGATAATATAGATATTTCAAATTTAAAAATAAAACTTATTATCAAATCAAAGATATGTCTATGAGATCACCTATATCACCAATAGTTGCGGTTATAGTAATGAAATACATTCTAGACCAAATGGTGGTAAAAACATCTAATAAACTACGCCTTAAGACCAAATATATTTATGACCATACAGAATGATCTACACAGCAGGACAAAATTCACCAAAGAAGAAGAAGGAGTTAATGAAAAACTGCCTTACTGGCAAATACAATGATAATAAGACATAACAACCGGATTAAATTAAACTGGTATCAAAAACCAACAAATTTTGGACGTTATATAAATTTTGACTCCCAGCAACTCTGCCATGTAGTGCGCCACACTCGATTAAAGCTAATAGGACTAGTGTTCAACATTAGCAATTCAATTTTCCACAAGGAAAATGAAAAAACACTTATTGTTATATTAACAAAAAAACAATTATTCAATTAACATTATTAAATCTTTCATAAAAAAGCAAAATCTCTTGAAAGTAATATATCGGACATTAAACCCAAAACTTTTATATCTTTGACTTACACACCTGGCTTCTCTAAAAATTTTCAAACATCAAAATGCTACAATAAAACAATACATAAAATAGTATTAAAAACACAAACATGTTAAAAAATTTGTTTAATAAAACAAATGTACAAAATAGAGAAGATGGACCAACATAATTTGATGTATAAAATACCCTGTGGAGGTGACGGAGCCAAAGTATGCCAACGGGTATATTTTGGCACAACAATAAACAAATTAAGAACGAGAATCGCCGCACACAAACATGATCTGAAGAGTCACACTACACCTAAATACCAAAAAACCGCACTAGCTAGATATTGCGTCAAAATGAATCATACTCCCAACTTCGATGATGTAAAAATTCTTAACCGGAAGAATAATTATAAACGAAGAAGGTTGCTAACAAAGCTATATGGTATATAATTGACCTTCCAGATAGTCAACAACTGAATTACAAGAGGGATACTAAAGGCTTGACACAAATCTATAGGTCTTGGATCTTAAATTAATAGTTAAGTCTATTTTTATTTCAATTTGTATAATTTTTAATAAATTGTTATTACGAACAATTTTCAAAATGTTTTTTTAATTATTACTGAGCTTACGTCGTTAATTTAATAAACAAAAATTAAAAATGTTGTTTCTAAATATAAATAATTATTATAAATATATGTTAAATATTAAATACAATTTTAATTTTCATAAAAAAAATATTTATATTACAGATATTTCGATCTAATTCGTAGACCATCTTCAGTGTTTAATAATTTTTGTTTATTATAATACACTAAAGATGATCTACAAAGTACACCGAAATATCTGTTAAATAAATATATACATAAGTTATACTTTTTATTTAATCTTAAGTTTGGTTTTATATAAATTATTATATAAAATGTAACCTTTAAAAATACGACTTAATTTAAACTAAAACTATTTTTAGTATAAAAAACCAAATCCTTAAAATAAAAATATATGAAAAATAACTTTATAATAAAAAATTATCAAACAATTCTTAAAAACAAATATATAGAAAAAAGCAATTTTGAAAAACAAATAATATAAAAATGCGATTTGTAAAATAAAAAAATATAAAAACTATTTAACAAAATATAAAGAATTAATTTTTTAATTTTAAAAAATCAATTTTTTAAAATTAAAAAGAAATCAACTTTAAAAAAAAATTTAAAAATCAATTTGTCAAAGTAAAAACATATAAACAGCGAAATTTTTTAAAATAAAAAACCAGTTATAGTTCATTAACAGTTATCAGTTGACAGGAACAATGTTATATTTAAATATACTACGTGGGAAGTTTAAAAAGTCACCGAATTATTAAACCGACCTCATTTATATAACATACATGTATGTGGGTATATTAAATTTAACGCAATACAATATAAGAGATTTGAGCTTGCCAAAGGATAGATGGATTTTAATACGGTTCTGGATTCTCACTGGAACAAAACACTGCCACCATGTTGAATGCTTTATGTTAGGATATAAATTAAGATTTTATATACTTAACGAGCTAATATATAAATATTGAAGATGGTTCATAGTTCTGCGTTTGTAGTTGAGAGTAGCGCTTATATTATATATAATACTATAAGTAAACGAATTTAAAGTTATATTGATTTCTTCAGAATATAGTCAAAAGTAAATTGTTTATATTATATCCTATTCCAATTAACAAAAATTTTGTATTTCCTTTCAGTTCACTCTGGCAAACAGAACGCATAAATTGGCTTATGGGACAAGAGCTACGACAATCTGTTGTAGGTTTACTGGGTTTCGGAGGTATTGGGCAAGCCATTGCCAAACGTCTGCAGAGTTGGGATGTATCGAAAATTATTTACAATACTAGAACTCGTAAGGATAACGATTTCGAACTACAAGCGCAACATGTTAGTTTTCAGAATTTGCTCCAGGAAAGCGACTTTTTGGTTGTAGCCTGTCCACTTACATCCGAAACTAAAGGCATTTTTGATGAGGAAGCTTTCTCGAAAATGAAACCAAATTGTGTTTTTGTAAATGTTGGCAGAGGAGGTAAATTTTATTATAATCCACATAAAACAATTACTGCAGTTTGATAAGCAGGCATTGTGAATCAAAACGCGTTGTTCAACGCACTCAAGTCTGGTCAAATATTTGCTGCTGGCTTAGATGTTATGACTCCGGAGCCAATACCGGCGAATGATCCATTATTGCAGCTGCCGAATTGTGGTCTGTACTGCCTTATTTGTTATGAATGTATGAAAATATTGTTATATTCTTTGTGGTTTTAGTGGTTATACCGCATTTGGGCACACAAACTATGCGAACAACTACGGAAATGGCTAAAATAGCAGCTAACAATATATTGAACGCTTTAAAAGGCGAGTCTATGATATCTCCAGCTTATTGAACCAAATTAATAAAGCAAAAGACATAAATTTGTTCTATTTTTTTTGTTATTATATTTTAGTAGGACAAGTTAATCGCTTATTTGTTCCTTTTCATTGGTTTTTGTTATGAATGGCATATACGCAGTATCCCATTCATCTGTTTCCAAAGCGTTAAGATATTTTTTACGTTGTTCCACAACACTTTCCAACATATTCGGCTTATGCTTTTCCACAATTTCCAATGCTTTCTGCCATTTGTGCATACGCAAGCAAAGATTGATTGCCTCAACATACTTTTGATTGTGAAGCAATATAGTTTCAGCTTCTGTGAGATGTCTTAGCATTAGAGAATTTTCAGCCATATGTTCTGGACTTAAAGGTGTTAAATTCTAAATTAAATTAAATTAATATTACTTTCATTTACTATTTAAAATACTCACTTTAATGTACTGAAAATAAGTGACTTTGTCTATTTGTAAAGCTGCCGAATACGCTTCTTCACTTATATCCAGTTGGTTCTTGCGCGTTGCTGCAGCAGCCAACGTCGCCCATAAAATTGGATTATTTGCAGAACGACATATTCTCAGAGCAGCCTGCCAATTACCTTCTAACAACATCAACTGCAGAGCTACACAATCCAGATTAACACTCACAGTCAAACGTGCGCCCTCAGAACGAAAGCAGATAATCCCATCTTCGAAGCTTTCAATGGTCATATTCTTACCCAATTCACTGTATTAATAATATTTTACAGAAGTGAAGATTATAGCTTTTGTTATAAGTTTTACTTACGGTGTATCGATTGTCACGGTAGTGAGCGCAATTATAGTCGGATCACCCGCTCCTTCTCCAGGACAGTACCAGACACTATAGAAAGCATCGTGTACACCAACCAGAATCAAGGCTTCGCTGGACCACATAACAGAAGTGACCTGTGTGCCAATTTTATATATGCCATTGCTGGCATTCCGGTCATTTCCATTTGTGTTACGTGCTTCAGTAAAAAAGTAAATGAATAGTTCACTATTCGAATCGATGAATACTATATATTTGTCATCTGCATTTCCAGCACGACAAGCAGCAACATCGGTAATATAATTTTTGGAACGCAACGAGTTGGGTTCATATTGGCGTGAAGCTCCCGGAATTAGATCGAATATATGAAGTACTAAGAAGGAAAAAAAAGAAATAATAAATAATAATAATAATTATAAAAGAAATAAATTCCTTTTATTAGTTAAAAGAAATAAAAATTTACAAAATATGATAATAAACTAGAAAATAAGAGCAATATCCAGTTATATGGCAAGTTAAGAGAGCCACTTGTTGAAATTTCTCAAAAAGTGGCTATATTAGTCGAACTCCGCGGTTTACAATAACAACAACAACAACATATCAGTTCAGTCTTTTTCACAAAGTCATGTGGGTAAAGAGTAGAGTACTCTAATAATGTCGAATTTTATGTGAATAAAAGAGGAAGTCAGTTTTTAGTTAAAGTTTAGATGAGTTGTCATCCCGGTAGAAGTGGAAATAGTCAATTATGCCTAAATCTTGGGAACTTTTATGCAAATTGTGCTTTAATATATTAAGATACAGTTTTTTTATCTATTATTGATTCTATAAATTGTAGATTTTCAATCCCTGCCTCTGACCTACACCCCAATACCATCGCTTATCTGTCGCCGTGATTAACTATGCCACGTAAATGCTCTTTTTGAACCTCTGTATTTGGGTTAAGCTACACATATACTTTGCCATCTGAAGCATAGAGATTAGATTTACTTTAATCGGCAAAAAGTAGTGAGTTCCAGAAAGAACTATCTTTGTACAAGTGATGTTTGGCGAACTGCAAGCGTATTTTACGATTTTTCTGGATCACATTTCTTTCCAATAAACATTTCACAATCCTTGGCAAGAGAGAGGACATCTAATGTAAAATTAAACATCTGATGTGAAATTAAAATTAGTTTTATTGAAATTAATAAATTGACTTTTTAAATTCCCTAAGTATCCTCAGTATGTATTATTCCTAATGTTCCTAATGTATTGAATGGGACTTCAGAATATGACTGCTATTACAAAAATACGATGGATTATTATGGGTACATTGAGAGGTTTTCATAATGACATTTTAGTACAATAAAAATAACTATTATGGAAATTTTATCCGTTAATACTAAATACCAATTTTTTAACATATATATTATCATACCTGTACCATCCGAGTTATCTCTAATAGCAAGTATATCCAATCCCAGAGACACAGTGCGAGAATTAAGTAGAGTGGTTTGAGCCTGTGAGCCAGGATATCTAGGATTTAAATGTAAGCGACCTGTGTAAGTATATACCCAGATTGAAGTGGAATCCAACACCATGAAAAATCTGTGTAAATGAATGAGAAACACATGAAATCAACATCATTTCTATATATCTTAAAATAAATAAATCACTTTACATACTTCTTGCCCGCTTGTATAGAACGTACATCACTTCTACCATCCACAATGATAGGTGTATTTATGTAGTTTTCTTTAAATATATGAATTTGATTTGTTGTTGCCACCAGTAAATATCCATATCCAAGTGTAAAGTTTATAACACGTTCTGGAAAGTCCAAGACATCTGTTGTTAGCTTTGTAATATCTTCCAAAACAATAGTTTTACTATTAATTGTGGTCGCATGTAAATGTCGGCATGCGAGTTCTTTACCCACAATATAACCAACTATAAGATCACCATTGGAGGTGCCACAAGCAACTTGAGTACCATCAGGTGACCAAGACATGGTGAAAATAGAGCCTACCATTGGTGACGTAAAACGCGTACTACTATAAGAACACTACAAGTAGAAGTAATAAACTGTAATCAATTTATTATTTTTATGTTTTTAGATGATACCTACGCCAGAGTTTTCAACTAATGAGACCATATTAAAAGAACCCACCAAGAGGACATTTTGTTCAGCATTGAAAGCAACACTTGTGATTGGATATTCTTCTATCGAACTTGTGTACAGATTATCACCTAGGGTATCCCAAATTTTAAAACGACGATCTTCACCACCCGTCGCAATTATATTCGAAGTCATTGACCAGCTAAGCGTAAGTACTAAACCATCATGTGCCCGCCACTAAAGGTATAGAATTCAGTAATATTAGTAATTCCAAACTGTACCAGCCAGCAAGTAAGCACTGTGGCTTCTAACTGCTAGCTACCATCCTTTGAAAATTCAATATTTAATCATTTTAAAGCTACTTACTCTAGTTAGTTTACTATTTGTCGTCAGCGGTTTGATCGATATATATTCGCCTTGACAGAATATGATTGACATTGAATTGGGAGCCCATCGTGCACAAAATACTGGTTCATAACTTTGTATAACTGTTGAACGTAACATACCGGACCGCGACCAAATTTTTATTTGCCCATCGTCAGCAGCTTTGGAAACAAAGTTATATTTTGAAACTTAAATATTTATACTTATTAAAACACACTAACTTACCTGTTAATAAACCTGCGCCGTCCGGACTATAACGTGCCGAATTTATAGCAGCAGCGTGTGCGGTTACATTGCGTTCCACTCGTGCACTTTTGTTCAGAATAATGAAGCGTCCATCGATGCTGGATATGAGTAACGTATCATTTCCTGTGCCACCGCTACTGTTTCGCTGGCCTAACAGCAACCAATCCATATCACTTGGTATGAAGTCATCTGGCAGCTTTGCCACTTCTATGGATTCTTGTGTGGCAGCATTCGTTTTATAGATTTGGCGGTCATCGCTGAAAGAAAACTTTTTATATTAGTTTGATAATTTTTAACTTTTCCAAGATACGTACTTCACAAAATAGATTTCATCATTACTGCTCCAGTCCACACAACACAGAGTAGAGTTAAAAGCCGCTTTACGTTGGTTGTGAGCGCCTTTTTTATTGTCGACTGCGCTGCTTGCGTTGTTATTTGCTTGAATTAAAAATTCTGTGTTGGCTGAAAATTTTTTAAAAATTTCTGCTTTAAGTTTCATAATTTAAGCACAAGAATTAAACAAAATAATTTGATAATTTATTTTTCTATATTATCAACGACTTCGCAATAAGCAGTAAAAATTTTTTGTTTTGAAATTTTGTTTTCAAAATCGGTTACCAAGCAACGCAAACTTCTTCACTACTCGCGCTTACTCAAGTCGCTGATCTTCTTAGTCGTACTGTACTTAATTAAAAATCTAACTGAATGCCACCACAAACCACCAATAGTTGGGATTTAAATAGTACGAGAAGGCATTTTAAAGATATATGATAGAATATATAGAATATACATAAGCTTGATAGAATATATCTAACTTTACTTTTACATAAGCAAATTTATATGAAATTAGATTTGATTCCTAAAAGCCTAAGTGATGATAGATTTTATTATATTTTGTATATAATACTATATAAAATAAAAATATATTATATAAAATCTAATAATATATAATATAATAATATATAATACGGTAGGTGGCGAAAATGCCATAGCTGTAAGCTTATATATATATAATATAATTGTTATAAATTTCTATGTAATACAGCATATTTAAAATTAAGTAAAATAAAGCAAAAATACTACTACTACTACTAATAATAATATATAATATAATATGAAATAAAAATATATATATAATATTTCATACATATTTTATTATACGGCTCATAAATAAGAACCACTTGGTTTTTCGGGTAGTTCGAATTTGCGAAAAGTTCTCATTTCTCGACTTTTTTATTTTTATAAAAAATTATCAAAAAATTAAAACTTTACATAAAAATTTATTTTGCATTTGAAAACAATCCTTATTAAGCATTATTCTATAAAATATTCAGTAATGTTTATTTGTTGTTTGGATTAAACAAACATTAAAGGATTGGTCATCTAATGAGTAGGAAACGAGTCATCCTTTTTGCACCATTTTTTGAAAATATTGATGCATTTAATCGCTTCAGAATGAAACACATTTGGTATAGATTGGGAACGTCATCTTCACTGTTATTTATCGAATTATTATCAGTATTGAACTCACATTCAGAACCGTTTTGAACTTGCATTTTTAAATGCGTTTCATTAAAGTGCACATTTTGGGAATTCCTCCCTTTATTATTAAACAAAAAATGAATAATAACATTTAACACCTTGCTAATTTATACAAAACTTAAAGAAAAAAACAGAAAGGAGAACCAATCTAATTTAAGAGCTTTCAGTGCATACAATGTATTGAGATTTTTGGGTTCTAATTTCTGGACAATTCAAATTTGTGAAAGTTCAAATTAAAAATCCTTTATTGTATAATTCTAATTTAATATGAACTTGGTTATGTAAATATAAAATTACATATAATCTGTCAAGCTAAAGTAAAAGATCTATAAAACATTATCTCGTATTTATAAGTATAAGATTTAAATTCAATGTTTCAAGTCACTCATACTTGTGAAAGCCATGGAAATTTATAATCGCAAGTGGAACTAAATATAAATAGTCGAACATATATTATTAAAAGCAAAACATTCTTTTTATTCTTGTAAAATTCTACAAACTTCGAAGTATCCATAACGAGAAATCCATAACGAAATCTGCTAAAAATAAAATTGAACAGAAACGATTTAAATTATTTTACGCTAATACTTATTTAATAAAGTATATTTACTTTAATCTAAACTCCTCTTAACTCCTCTTCCCTAAAGAGATATGCCTTTTCCAAACAACATTCCCACTTCCTACTCTACTCAAAACCTACCAAATATTCATCTATGAATTTGTGTTGCTGTAATTTCTTTTATGTTCTCTGCTAGACAAATCTTCTTGGACTATAACAACAATAATAACTTCTTTTCTATCTTGCTTCTTCGTAAATTCAAACTTGAATAATTTTAACATCACTTACCTTAAGAAGTTGACTATTTATCGTTATTCATGAAACTTAAAGTTCTCCTTGATAGATTATGACTGGCATGGAATAAGGAACCCATCCTGCACAAAATACTGGCTCATAACTTTGGATAACTGTTGAATGCACCTTGACTAAATTTTTATGTGTCCAATATCTGCAGCTTTGGAAACAAATGTATATTTTTAATAATTTATGCTTATTACAACATTAACTTACCTGTTAATGAACCTGATCTGTTTCGACTATAACGTGCCGAATTAATAGCAGCAGCGTGTTTGATTACATTGCATTCCACACGTGTACTTTCGTTCTGAAAAATGAAGCGTCCTTCGATGCTGAATATAAGTAGCGTATCATAGCCAGTTTCAGGAATCTATTCCATATCATTTGCTACAAAGTTAGCCTGCAGTTTCGTCACTACCACTGATTTCATTGTAATAACATTTGGTTTATAGTTTTGGCATTCATAGCTAAAAGAAAACATATCATATTAATTTTTCTTATTACATTTATGTTCTTTCCAAGATACGTACTTGCCAAAATATATTATATGAATGCTGTTCCAGTAAGAAAAACAGATAATCTTGTCAATAACAATGTTGTTGGGGAATATTTTTATGGTCAGCTATTTTATTAAGTTCCATGTTTCAGAATTCAAAATCAAGAGTTTGCTGATATTCAGTTTTTTGTTTTAAATCTTTAATAGCACTGTTGGTTAGCGTTAAATAAGATAATTTACTTATTTTAGCAGCGAACTTTTATTTTTTGTATGTTGTCAAAATATGTTATGAAGCGGCTAAGGTTTACTCACCTCAGCCAAACGTCAAATTCATTAAAATGTCTTAAAAATTTACCACACTTATCCGCTTTCCTGCTCACCGCTAGATGGTGCGATGGTTTTATAATTTAATATTCTCTACTACTTTATTGTATATATAATTTTTATATAAATTTACACAAAAAATATGTTTAATTTTATATATAAATATATATTTAATTGTTACCAAAAAAATGAAATATAAATAATACATGAAAGTCTTAAATTTATATTCTGAGATATATACAAATAATGAACACAGAAAACAGACATTTTATTTAAATTGAAGTTTGTTTTATACATAGCGACTGAACAGTACTGTTTGATTTTTTGATATGTTGCTCTAGTAGTCTACGTATAAAGAAAATTTCACGTTTTTTACGTTTTTAATTTGTTTATTCGCTGGAAGTTGTTATTTGTTAGAATTTCTTAAATAAATATTTATAGTTATCGACTTCATATATGATACATGAGGAAAAATTAAATTATGTCTGTCGATCCTAAAGTTATTTAAAATTTTAGGATGCATTTTTACTAATATTTGTAACTAAGGGTTGATATTATACTTATTATATATCTCATTAAATTATGCCAAATAAAATTACAAGATAATGAAAAAATAATGAAGAAATTAATTTCACTTAAATGTAGTAAAAATTAACTTAATTAATATATCTTTAACACTTAGGATATTATCAGTAGTTATTCGTACAGTACGTAATGAAAATAATATTTAATCACCATGAAACTAAATACTAAGCTGTGGTGAATAAATTTAATGACGAAACGGCAAAAACATTGTATTTCATTTATGTTGATATTTTAATAAAGAATTATTATTGATTTTATTTTTGAATTTTCTGTAAAATTCCATAAAGTAGTTGTTAGATATTGTAATAGATATCCAAACTGATAATCGGCATATTACATATATTTTATATTTTATATTTTATATTTTACGTGTAAAATAGGTTAATAAAAATAAACTCGCTTGTAAAACAGGTTAATAAACCTATTTTACTATCAATTAATAAATGGTCACTGTGGATTTGTACCAAGCATGAACTACATAACAGCTTTGTTCAGTTTGATCTGGGTAGGTAGAAGAATACTATGCCGATAGCTCCTGTTATTAGGGAAGTCTTTTAATAGTAGATATTTTCTGTCTTATTAACAGGACCAAGTGTCTTCTGTTAGGTTAAGGTCGGTTGTAAGCATTGGTGACATATCATGGTCGCAGCACTTTGCATCGTTCGGAACCCGTTAACGATACACCTCTCACAATTTTGTTGTTTGACATAGCAATCTATTTTGTAGAGTTACTCTTAAAGAGTTTCTTACTTATGACTCATTACTGCTTAGTTTCTAATTTTTTTGACCAAACAAGCCTACAGAGTTCCTTGGATTTGTAGGATGTATTTGCCGATATGTTATATGCAAAAGTCAAAACTTCAAGAAACAATTGAATAGACATCGGCCCTTTCCAACGCATCGTCTGGTTGGGGCAGATATTCAATCTCTATCTCTCTAAAATATCTACCCTTTATTGCTGGCATAGATATTGTTTTATGGAGTGGTTTTTAATCCGGTTTAGGATTCTTTTGGAAGAGTTAGTATGCACATGTATTTATATATAACATAAGCTATAGTATAAAAATGGCACCAATTGGTCATTTAAGGACCCAATATTTTTGCTCAACAGGTTGCTATGTGCATTCTACCACTACTACTAATAGCAGTGTCCCTAGCAGTTAGAAATTCGGTATCGGTATTTTAAACAAGCAATAAATTTATTCTTACTTGATTTATATATGAAGTAACCATAATGAACTTATTCACTCCTGCTGAGATTCGTATGTATCAAAAAAAAAATATTTAAATTGTTGCTATTGTATTTAGAAAACAGTAGTAACTCCAAATCCAAAAATAATTTTACTTACTTATGAGTTAATTTTTGAATGTTTCCAAAAATATACCTAACTAATACCACCACGTTCAGGATAAAAATTTTACCTTACTACACTATTTTGGTTATTAAAATATTTGTTTGGATTAGTAGTCAGGAACGGAACTAAGTAAGTATGAACATTATTTTAACCATTCCATTTTCTATGGAACATTAGTTTGTGTCTACTTTTCTTCCCTTGTCGATGTTAACGTAAAGTAGTTAAAATTTTTTATATTGATAAATATAATGTCCTAGTTTGTACTCATATCTATCGTTAATCATAGCAACTCACAATTTAGAAGGAAAAAAAATTAGTGGCCTTGTTGGCAATATCAACATATCGTCAACACCCCACACCAAACCGGATGAGGCTAATTTTTCATGAAAGTGTCAATGTGTCAATATGTCTGCGACGTACGCTTATCTATGAAAGGAAATCTTCCACTTATGTGACATGCATATAAGGACAAGAGTGTGTGATAGAATTGTATAAGAAATTTCCACGATAATTATCATTAAGCCAATAACTAAAATTGGAGCAAATCTGGTGTGGGTACGTTCTGTCCCACATAATTATTGCCCCCACTCATTTTCGATAAAAAGGTTACAATAAATATTGAAAAAATATTCATACAAGTATAAACATTTAAGGATATAAAAGTTAAGTACTAAATATATTTTTATTTGAATTGAACTTAGTAAATCTGCAAGAGAATTTTATGCCTTAGAAAATATTATACAGTTTCCTTTAAAACTCACTTCTATGGATTTTTCTAAATAATAAAAATAAACTTTTTTGTTATTTAAACAAAAAATATTTACTTGAGTATATCAGGAAGACTTTTAATCACCTTTATAACAGGGAGTTGCCAGAACATAAAGTGGGTAGAAGAATAGACCAATTTCAGGTTTACGGATTTTGAGATTGTCTATGATTCAATGAAGAGAAGCTTTTCATTCTAGATAAAGATACCCAATAATTTGAATAACTACTACGATCTTCAACTATCTGTTATTCGAATTTAACATTTGCAGGGGAATAAGATGAGACAAAGCGCTGTCATGCTTAGTCTTTAATACATCACTTGAAATAGCAAATAGAATTACGAGGGACAATTCCTATTCATTAAATCATCAAGCCTAAGACCCATTCTAGCCTAATGGACTTTGACAACTTCAACTTCAAGACGAATTAGCATATATTAGGCTCAAAAGAATTCACAAAAAATAAAGGTACTACTTGTTACGAAATGTCGAAGTTTGAGATTATACGAACTATAAATAGAAACGACAAGTTTAAAATGGTTAAGTTTTTTATATATAAATATATAGTAGTAAATATACTACTTAAATGAAATAAAGAAATAAATAACAGAATCTTATCTCTTAAAAATATGTATTATGCCTTATGTATTATGGTTAAATAACAAACTACTAAGCAGAAAATTATAGGTTCTGTGATACAATATCCTTGTTTAAAAGGATTTACATCAGCATAGGTAGCTTTTAATACGTATATCTTCTGACGCTAAATCACAGGTTAAGAAAACTACTAAAACCTCAGTTCCATTCCTATAAAAATTTAAATGCTCTATGCAATGAATACTAGTAGCAGTGTACACTAATGACAAGTTCTACCTTCAATGGTAGAATTGAAATAGCTTTCAGGTCTTAGGAATATTTCTAGCAACTGAAAAGTTTATAAATTATTTCGAAGTGGTACACGTCTCATTATATATGTCATTTTAGAAGTACGAATCTTTTTAGCTTCAGTTAGATATAGTGTAATTAAGACATTTGTCTACACGTACCACACCACTCGATACTCGATGTCTAATACATCATCGTACTAATAGGCAGTCGATCTGGGTGGCGCAGATCGACTTTATATCTGTAAAATATCTATCCCTTGTTGCTGGCATAGACATTAAAGATATTGCTTTGTGGGGTGGTTTCTTGATCTAGTTTAGGATTCTTTTGGAAGAGTTAGTATGTACATGCATATATAATATGCATATATATGTATATACATATATATGTATATTTATTTATATACATACATAAGCTGTGCTATAACAATGAGACCAATACTCGGGGCTTACAAGACCAGGTCTTTCTGCTCAAGGGGGTGCTATGTGCTCCTATCACTACTGTAAGGAGTGTACCTAGTAGATAGAAATAGACAACCAGTAGACAATTTCAATAAGCAACGAATTTTTTGTCAACTGATTTATATATGTAGGTGCCACTATGAAGATTAGTATGTGGATGAAATCCAATTAATTTAAATGTGGAAGAAAACCTTAACACAGAGCTCTACACAGTAACTAGTAACAAATTAATCAGATGGTTAATCTGTAAGGTTGTCTAAAATACATTAGAAAGCTGCTTATGTATATTGTCAGAAAAGACAAAAAATATATTATTGTGGTCAAAAGAGGAAAAATTGGTTAAAGAGTGGTAACTTACGGAACCAGAGTAGGTATGGATTTAAAACTTGAATACTGCTGTCAAATGTGAAAGCTCTTCAATATGAAATCCAATTTGAGGTGCACTTTAGTTTTTATATAATTTTTAAGAAAAACTTTGAGTCTACTTGAATTTAAAGACACCATATAACTCTATTGTAGTTAACATATCAAAGTATGGATTCACTGGAATCTCTACCTCTACTCAATATTTGCTATTCGTTAATAATATATTATATGTTTAATTTGGTATATATATTCTTCATTTAATTTTTCCTATGCTTTGGTCATTAATTCATCAATGATTAGGACAACATTACTTTGCTTCATTTAGCGGGACTTTGAAGTCGGTGTAATATTCATCTCAATGTGTGAATGGATGACAACCATCATACTTTGCCGATATTTCTGTGGCAATTTTTTCAATTTTTTTAATCCACTAGGAAGAACTAACAGTGCCTTTAAATGGATTAATGACAAAAACTTGAAAGAAAAGTTTGTATAAATTCTCTTCTCATGTACCTAAAT